CCTCAAAAAAATGGTAAAAGTGTTTATTTCCTCTAGTTAAGGTCCCTGCAGACATAAAAAGAGTTGAATTCTCTCAAAAGTTTATGTCAAAACATATTAAAATATGCATTGTGAACTGACTTTTTTTCTTTGTGTGTGTTTTTTTTATTATCATCATGGCATCGGTATTATTATATGAACCTATTCCTTAGTTTTAGTATAGTTTATTATGATCTTAGTCCTGTCAAATCATGTATCACTGATTAGGAAAAATAAAAGGAGAACAAACTAAGTACAGCAGGATGTACGTATACTGGGGAAAATGGGAGATGACTGGCAATATGACGTCTTGAAAATAAACGAATAAAGATTGCTCAAATATGCACGTACCACTCCAAACACAACTATGGTGAGGGGAAATGCTCAAAACTCAAAAAAGTCGATTTTGCATCATAGGTCTGCTTTAAAACATGAGGTTATTTACAGTCACAGGTGAGTCTGAACTCTTCACCTTATATCCACTACAGCACACAGTCCTCCAGTGGGATTTTCATTGTTTTGTGTCTATCCCTATGCCACTTGTTACACACATAAGTATACATTAGACATCGAGGTGTGGAGGAGGCGTTGGCTGCATGATTATTGAGCTGTATGTAGCCAAACTTCATTAGAGCAGCGTTTTAAATAATAGAGTTTAATTGATATTCTGGTGCGCGCTGATGAAGAGTTAACAAAGGAGACAAGGCAAATGCATTAAGGTTACTGGTGCTGTGTTTAATTTGCAACGAAGAGAGAGAAGCAGGGAGAGAGAGGGAAGCAGAGTGAGGGAAAGAGAGAGGGAAAGAGAGAGAATTTGTGGGTAGGAGAGAGAAGCAAATGGAGAGAAAAACATAGATGTGAGAAGAGAGTGAGAAGAGAGTGAGGAACAGAGGAAAGATAAGCAGAGAGAGTGAGAGAGAAGAAGGGATACTGATAGAAAATGAAACAGGCAAAGAGAGAGAGAGATGAAAGGCGACAGAGGGGGGACAAAGAGAAGTACAACAGAAAGAGACAGAGTGAGAGAGAAAAAAGGGAGGAGAGGCAGAAAGAGAGGGAGCAATAGATAAATATTAAAATTTAGACAGAGAAGTAGAGAAAGAGAAGAAAAAAAGGCTAGAGAATGGATGAGAGTGAGAGAAAGAGAGAGAGAGAGAGAGAAAGTGAGAGGGGAGGAATGAGGGGAATAGAAAGGGAGAAACACAAAAAGAGACAGCGTGAAAGAGAAATACAGAAAGTGAGTGAGGACTGGCAGGGTGAGAGAGAGAGAGAGAGAGAGTGAGAGAAAGTGAGAGGGAAGAAAGAGAAGAGAAGGTTGGGGAAGGAAGAGAGAGGGGCAAAAGAAAGAAAGACAGAGAGAAGAGAGAAACAAGAGACAGAGACAGAATTAGAGATAAATACAGAAAGTGAGTGAGGACTGGCAGAAAGAGAGGTAGAGCCTTCGTGCGTAACCAGGATACACAGTGGAGAGGAGAGACGAGTTCCTCTGATGATGCACAGTTTGAATATTCATGTGATCTGTGCTGCTGCTCTGTCCATGGAAAGTGGCAGATACATGTCACTTAAGCTGCACCGCTGACTCAGACATGTGGGATGATCAAAAACACCATTAAAAACAGGAACAAAAATGTAAACAAGTTAAAGGTGCACTGTGTGACTTTTCTGGTGCAGGAGCCGTTATCTCCTTGTCTCCTTGGATGTGTTGTTGCTTTGTCTAGAATGCTCCACAATATTGTATTAAATGTACCTCCATGGAGACAAAAAAATTGACCCCACCAAGCTAAGTTGCACGATGGATGTGTGGAGAGGTGATCCTGCTCAAATTTTTTAAGGAATAAAAACATTTGTATTTGAAAAAATGAAAGGTAGATAGGTTTAATGCTACTGTGGAACATTTCAGTCAAAGCAATTACATCTCCATGGAACAAAAATCTGATGACAGACCCCACACCAAAATAGTTACACAGTGAACCAAATTTGGCATTTCTATTATTTTTTTCTACTTTTGTAAATTAATATTAAAGATCCACTTTGTAACGTTTGTGGTTGAGGATCCGCCACGTGCTTGTCTCTATGAAGATGTTGTGGCCAAACTTCCTTGTCAAAGCAGAGCTGGGCCTGGTTAGTACTTGGATGGGAGACTTGTGGGAAAATCAGGTGCCACAGTGGCAATAAACTGTTGTTGTGTCCTTAGGCAAGACACTTCACCCACATTACCTAGTATGTAAGGGGTGTGAGAGTGATTGTTAGTGGTGGTTGAGCATCAGTGTTTAGTTTCTCTTAGTTTTGAACACTTCCAGAGAACTGGCTTCTCTAATTTCAAAGGGTAGTAAGTTCCACAAAGAGTGCGGGCATAGATTAAAAAATTAAATTAATTAATTAAAAGCAGCATCACCTTTTTTCCTCTATTCTTAGGAATTTTCAATAGACCTGCACAGGACGAGCACATGGTTCTTGATAGGGTGTGGTATTGTAACATATTGGTGATATATGTGGGGGTGAGGCCATGGAGAGCTTTATAAGTGATGAAAAAAGTTTTAATATGTATTCTAAAAACAACTGGAAGCCAGTGTAAGGAAGCTAGAATTGGAGTGAGCTCTTTTGCTGGTGTGCATTAAGCCATGTGGTTGAGTTTTCAGTTAACTAAAGTCTGTTAGTGGCGTTACTTGGAAGTCCTGTTAAACAACACAGCGGTATTCTAGTCTGCTGGTAATAAAAGCATGAATTAGCTCCTCAGCGTCACTTTTGCTGACTTTTTTTTTATGTTTCACAAATGATAAAAATCTGTCTTGGTGACTTTGCTTATGTGAGAATTAAAGTTGAAGTCAGAATCCAGAACACCTCCCAACAACCAAGTTTTCCATTACCTTATGATTTGGACCCAGCAACTAAAATTTCTGTTTTATTTTCATTTAATTTCAGAAAGTCCATCCATCTGTTGATGTCCAAAAGGCAGCTTGTAATTGAAGAAATGGCTTCCTTTTCATGTAGCTCTGTTGAGATGTAAAGTTGAGTATCTTCTGCATAACTATGAAAATAAGCTTTCTGTTTTCTGATGATATGATCAAGTGGAAGCATATAAAGAGAAAAGAGCAGAGGGGACAGTGAACTTGCTTGGGGGAGTCTGTAGAGGATTTTCGCTCTGATGAGGTGTATTCCCCAAGAGTGACACTTGAACTTTCGGTCCCTGATATATGAAATCAGCTAGTCTAGGACGACACCAGAGGAGAGCAGTTTTCTCCAGCCGATTAATAATGATGTTGTGATCAACAGTGAATGACGTCAGTAGAATTCAGCAGTTAAATCGAGGATGATAAGGATTGAGGCTTTATTGTTATTGTGATTCAATCTTAGGTCACTAGTTATTTTAATAAGGACTGTCTCTGTACTGTGATTTTTCCTAAAACTGGAATGAAATGTGAAATGTTGTGTCATGTGTTTGTCTCAAAGGAGATAAAGAAGTTTAAAGCACTGTGAAATAAAAACCAAAAACATCTCTATGCAAAACAAGCAGGTGGCCGACCGGTCACCAGAAATATTATATAGTTCACCTTTAAATTATAGATCCACATCTTTAAGTTTAGGTCTGCATTAGTGGATGTATTGGAGGTTGACTTGTAAGGTTTTTATAGCATTCATTCTCAAAGAAAATAATGATGTACTTGACTAAACATGTCAAAGCCCTCTTTATAGTAAAAATTCTGAAGAACTTTGACCTTTGCACAACAGTTTATCTGCAGTATGGGTTCAAAAAATGCTCAAAGTTGATAAGTCTAAAGTTTAATAGCTTCATATAACTTGGTATAACTTTCATGGGGAGAGTCCACCACCTCCTTATCCTGGTGGCAGACTCTCTGATAAGCAAGTTTGTCTGGAATATTCCACAGTATGCCATTAAATGTATCCATCTTGCATTCATGTAATTAAAGTTGTTTTATTGCTCAAAAATAACTTGAAAAACAGGGATTCATGCTGTGTGGTCGCCTCTCCATAGATCTGGCCTGTAACTTAACTCGGTGGCATCACATACTTGTTTTTATGGAAATAAACAAGTATTGTGGCACATTGCAGGCGAAGCAAAAACATTGCCATGAAGAAAAACAGTGAGCGGACCCTCTATCAGAAAGGTTACACAATGCACCTTTAAGGAGTATCCATAAAGTACCATGAAGCAGAACCAAACAGCAGTAAGCCAAACAGTCAATTAAGGGCAGAATGGAATTAGTAGGTTCAATTATTTAAGTAATAATTAATTTGACATAAACCATTTCTGTATTCAATGCTTAAAGAGAACTATATCTACAGCTTAATTTGCATTCAAACACATTTTAACCCCAAGGTATAGGTTGCGTTGACTTTCTGTTGTGAATGAAGAATCCCGGTTACTTAAATATCCATTTCCATACAGTCTATAAGAGGAGGGATGTAACCTGTCAGCATTTGTGTTTTAACCTGATGCTAGTTGCTCTGGTTTCACTGCTCTGCGTAAAACATGTCAATTGAGAAAAAACATCAACGAGTATCTTTTTTTTTTTCGCTCCCCGTGGGTAAACTAAGACGATTTCATAGTTACTGAGTATTGTGTGTTTCATAATGTCTATTAAAGTTTTATTTTCTATTGCAAAAAGTTCAATCTTTCCCATATATAAAGTACTGAAGCACCACTAACGCTCGTTTAGGATTCATTAAACACGGTATTTCCTTAAGGTAAGTTGGCAACATTAGGCAGTCAGTAACTTGGCGTCTATGATTGAAATTTAACAAAGGGACAAGACCAGAACATCACAACTGCACAGCGCAACTCATCGCATTGGTGTTAATGTGGTTTCTCTTGTAGCTGAAGTCAGTGATCCTGTTTTGACGCACGCTACAGAGGCAAAAAACAATGCAAAATCAGGAAATGCATGTAATACCACAACAACCTCAAACTCCTCCATAAAGAGCATATAAATCGTGTCAGTTAAAAAAAAAGTGCCAAAACCCACCTGAAATGCCTGCTATGAAGGAAAAGCCCTTCACAATTAGAAGCAAACCGCAGAACAAGCATATCTGGATCAAGACCAACTCCTTTCGCCGTTTACGTCTCGCCTTGACTTTCCTTTGGTTGAGCATCATTTGTGTCGGCTCGTGTCCATGTCCAGCTAAAAACATCGCTTCTTCTTGTAACGCGGCAACATCCATAAGCAGATCCCCGGACAGACAAACAAATCTCCAATTCCGGGGGAGCTGTTTGAAAAAAAAAAAGTGAAAAGAGAGATTGAGTAAGAAGGGAGGTTAAAAAGTTAAGAAACACTACGGTGCGGGCTGTGTGATAAGAGCGTAAAGGTGCCGTGTCTGTGCGTCATGATAAAGTGGCAGGACGCAAGAGTACCGCTGCTGCACGAGCTCTCCATGGCCACGAGCTGAGAGTTAGAGAAAAGGGGGGGAGAGAGAGGAGAGGGCGCACGAGGGCACGCACGCGCATACAGTGAGTGACGACGTAAAAAGCAGAAGACGAATTAACAGCGAGCATAAGGCACTTCACGCACGCGCATACAGTGAGTGACGACGTAAAAGGCAAAAGACCAATTAACAGTGAGCGTAAGGCTCTGAGTACAGCCTGGAAACGAGCTGCGTAAAAAGACTCAACTACAGCTATTATTACTGCTGTAGTTTCAAGGTCTGGGACGCTTTAAGACTATATGCTACTTGTATACTGCAGTTTGTTTAAGTTAATGGGATGAACCAAACAAGGACTTTGTTGTAGATTTTACTCAGAAATTAAGTCTTAAAAAGCAAGATTAAAAGCATGATTGTCACAATTTAAAGGTGCACTGTTCAGTTTTTCTGGTGGAGGGTCTACCACCTGCTTGTCTCCATGAAGATGTTATTGCTGCATCCAGAATGTTTCATGGTATGACCTTAAACATCCAACTAGAATTTATTAATTATGGGTGTGTCTATGCCTCAAAAATACACAACTACCTTCTGTGAATAGAGGTGCCTCTCCACAGATCTGAATTATAATGTAACGTAGTGCTGTAACCTGTCTCCCTTGTGATAAATAGGTTTCATCTATACTGTGGAACATTCTAGACAAAGCAATAACTTTTTCATGTAGACAAACAGGTGCCGGACCCTCCATTAGAAATGTTAATACACCTTTAAGTGACTGGACCAAACTGTGGACCATTCCAGGCAAAGCAATAACATCTCCATGATTACAAACATGTAGCGGACCCTCCATTAGAAAAATGATATACTGCACCTTTAAAACATTTCAAGTTAGAATTTCAGCACTGTATTCTGTCTTAGTTTAAGCTCTTACCTCCATTCCCATCTCCAATGTAGAATACCTTGGTCATAAATTCTGAAAGGACGTTATTGTTGAGCTGAAATCATATTAAAGGGGCTCCATAGATCAATACTGCAGGTTGGTTAATTTGAAGTGCTTCTTTCTTCTGGGAATGACTCTGCCTCATAACACTGACCAAATGGAAACTGCAGCTGCACATCCATGTTTGCCTGTTGATAAGCAAATTTGAGTTGACAATAATAGCAATAACAAACTCCAAATGCATTTCATGCAAGCACTTTGGAATGCTTTAACTCTGCACAGATCTGACTTCTAACTTGGCCTGGCCATGGAAATAGCAAAGCAATAAGATCTCCATGAAGATAAGCAGGTTGCATATCCACACCAACACCAGACAAGTTATTGAATACATCTACTGAAAATATGTATTCTGAATACAAATTTTAGTCACTGTATTGATTCATTTGGTGGTGTTCAGAATTACTTTCCTAATTTAAAAGGAACGTATGATGGTACTTCATCATGTAGTTTTGGCTTTGAATTGTAGCATTAGTGAGAATAAAGATAACCCAGTTGCAGTGTGTGCAATGTGCATGTGTGATTTTTCATCTCTGATTTGACATAAATTAATGCATAACAAACTTTTTTATGTCATGTTTTTAACATTATATTATGCAACTCAATGTAAAAATATTCAGAGTATTCGGAATACTCTGATTAGACCATGTATCAGCATACGTTACGAAATACATTTTAATGCAAGTGTTTTCAAAGTATCCTTCCCATCACTGGTGGTAAATCTGTGGTGTATGCTGAATAGATGGTCCATTCTTGAGTATATTGGGTTATGTTGGGTGAATTAAGCACAGTCTTGAGCCAGGATGTTGGATTAGCCTCATGTGCTTGTTCTAGATCAGACAAACTGTGGTTTACTTTGGGTGCTCCAACCCAAAGTAAGCCCACCAAAACATAAAAATATTCAAACTCTAAAACCCCTTACATGGTCCAAGAATAAAATATTGGAAGATGAGTAGGCTAACCCCTCTACCATGGAATATGAGTTATGACATGTTATACCACGTAAGGTGAATTAGTTGGCTGTCATTTTGTATCTCTGTGTGTCAGGATTGCAAATAACTGCAATTATTGTCACATTTTGATATCACAGTGGTATTGTAATTTTCAACACAAAATAATATTAGTTTATCTGTTACCATGTGACCTTATAGTTCTGATACAGGTAAAGACTATATTCTTAAATTGTAGGAAACGTTCAGTTTAATTATTTTCATTGATTTTGTTAGTGTCAATGCTTGTTTGACAGTCTTATTTAGCTTTTATACAAGTTTTATCAAGTAGTAGCTGTGTTGTTTTTTTGGACAACCATATTGGCCGAAACTTTGCAGGAATCAGATACAGAATAATAATGATAGCTGTTTACACATTTACTATAGCCTTTCTTTCTCTGTTAAATGGTCTGTTTCAGCCCAATATAACAGAGCAATGTAAAACACAAACCATATTTATTTTACATGAGATTGGAGAGCAGATTGGATTTTGCAGTTCCATAATACCTATGAGTTCCTATAGTCCTGTTGTTTCCCTGCTCTCTCTCACACACTGCCTGCCTGTGCTTGTTCTGTATCTGAGTCCACACAGCACAGATGCACAGATGCACAGATGCACAGCAGATTTGCCTGTCTGTCTACAGCCTGCCACTTCCCGTCAGTCCAAACCAGTGAAACACAACCTTCAGATAATGAATATTACCAGCTAAGCGGGTTTCTTGATTGCTAGGCCTGAGGTTTTATTTAAATAGCTCTGGAAACTTTCCAACGAGAATGGAAAAAGTGGTCAAGGCTCTAGGCAACTGGTTTCATTGTTCGGATTTAACCCTTTCAAGAACAGAGTCGGTGATTAACTGAGGGTGGAGAGCTGGCTTTGCATGATCTTAGTTATTTAATACTATTGATTTGTAACAAGATTTATTTGATTAACTTGTAAACTTGATTAAATTATACTTCCTTTTGTATTTGTACTTCTTATTTCTACTTTCATACTGTTATTTGGACAGAACATTACATGTAATTGACCAGTTGTTTAAAGCCGTAGTATGTAACTTTTTACATAAAATGTACTTTTGTGTGTGTGTGTTTGTTGTACTTTAATACCTTATAAAAACATGTACTTTTTCTTTCTAGCTCCATGGAATCATCCAGGTGACATGCTACTTCCAGAAAGTTAGATACTGTACCTTTAAATTTACCCAACTTTTAATTTTTTAAATTTTAATTTAAATTAGTTCATTTTTGAAATAAAATACTCTTGATTACATGTAGGCTATTGCAATTCTGTATTGTAGTTTTTTTCAAATTGGGCCAATAATATTAAGATATAAAGCAGCAGTTTTTGTTACTAGATGAGGTCCCTTTCTGTAGTAAATCCAGGGCAAAGTAACTTCAGTGGGCATGAAGTTACTAAACAAAACCAATTCCCAACCTCTGAAAAAGGCACGCACAAAAGAAAACTGCAAGAGGGAAGAGGAAGGAGGGGCCGCAAATTAAACGCAGTTAAATTGTTTTTCCATAGCCTGTGGGGTTGGCAAGGGACTCTCTCACACACACAAGATGTACGATAATGTGGAGAAGACAGAGCAGAGAGACTGTGGCTTCTGATGTCAGACTATGTGAAGAATTTAACCCATTTTCCCATGTCCGAGTGACTGACTGCCCTCTGTTCGGAACGGGTCGGAACACTGACCGCTGCTGGACGCAAGGAGGGGAGAAATAGTGATGTAGAAAACATCATCACTGTGTAATTCTGGTAGTAGTATAGACACTTAAAGCATGTTGTCAAAAGATTGTTCTTTGCTCTCACTGCTATTTTGTTCTGTCAGTGCTGATTAAAGAGCCCACATTACACTAGTTTCTGGTCTGTTATAATCTTTTTTCCTCATCAAAAACATACCTGGAGTTTTGCTTCATTCACACTCACTCTGTATATTTAAGCAGAGTTCTTCTTTCATACAGAAAACCCTGTCCCACCCTAGGATCTCATGTGGTATTACAGGAAGTACTCCACTGAGTTTTTAAAGCCCATATGCCTTCACTAGAATCATTTGGATTATTTCAGTCCTGGAATTGGCCATTTCTACTGAACTAAAGGTAAACGGTAGCTATTAACTTGAAAAGTACTGCTTCATGGCATCACAAGACATTTTGAGTTTCAGAGATGTAAACAGAGTAATAATAAAGGATTACACAAACATATACTGTGTGAATGAAACAAAACACAACTCCAGGCTGGTTTTGAGGAGGTAACAACATTCTAACATGGCTTAAAGCTCACAAGAGTCAATTTTGCATGATATAGGACCTTTAAGCACATTGTATTTTGAAACCATAGAGTTGTGACTGGCCTGGGCATTTTACATGTGACTGGTAGAGGGAGTAGGGGCACTTTGGTCATCTTGATATTTTGGTTTAAAGCGCATATGGTAAGATAGTACCTATGGAAAATATTTATCATAGTTTTGCATCAGGAATCCCTTTAGTGCACAAAATTCTATTCACAATAGAAGGGCAATTTATATGCAAGGAACAGGATTTTCTACTTAGAGTTAATATTGCTTTGGCTGGACTGTTCCACAGTGTTACAATAAAGTTACCTAGCTGGCATTTTATTAGCTCTGAAATAACCCGAAAAATATGTATTACTTTAGAAAGCCGCTATTACACTGCTTTGTGATCTATGTTATAATGTCATTTCCGCATCAACTGGAGTTATGTTTTGTTTCATTTACACTTAACTTGAAAACTACCTCTTCATGACAACTCAAGGTGGAACAGATCATTCTGAGCCTTGCAATGTAGACAGACTAATAATAAAGAATTACTCAAATATGTGTGAAAGAAACAAATCACTCCAGGTATGTTTTTGATGAGGTAACAATATTCTAACATGGCTTAAAGCTCACAATAGTCAGTTTTGCGTAATGTAGGACCTGGTCTGTACACAGATCTGACCTGGAACTTGACCTGGTAGTATCACATCTCTTTCTAGAAGTTTAATGCTAGACTTTGAGAGATT